GAACTTTGAATGTTATAGGAATGAGATAGATAAGGAAAAAAATTGATGACAAAGAACATAATAAAAATTGCTGGAGAAGAACACTTGACTAGATGATTGCTGAAGACATCAACACAAGTTTACTACAGTAAAGTTGCCAGTTCAAAATTGTATAGCATATCTTAATATTCTCATCCTGGAACTCCTTTTTTTGGGAGGCATGGATTCTGTAAAACTCCCATTAACTCCTGGGGAACTAGTGCTTCATGAGAAATATTAAGATGGATAAACTGTACCAAAGAGAAAAATAAAATTAGGTCATTTGCAGAATATCTAAATGACAGACTTAAAAATTCTCCAGGATTGGCTTAAAGATCAGACAGATCAATATAAAGGGAAAGAAAAGTACTTGTTTTTGTCTAAATCCCTAAAAGAAGGCAGAGTCCTTGGCACAAAATAGACACTTAAATTATGCCAATAGGACAGAGATAAACAAACTTTCTGTCATACTCTTTTGAATCAATCAGCCTTTTAGAGTCTGAAACTAACCTAGTTCAGCAAAGATGTGTTTACTCTGCTTCCCTCAAATCTGGGCTAATGATATAAAAGATGTTAAATCTGTTATTAAAGATAGAGGAGTCAATTCCACTTTCATTTCCCATCTATTAAAGCTATAGTCAAAGCATAGAAACCAAGTCATTACATTCAGAGAGAGATTTGTTTTGAACTTAGGGAGACCCCATGCACCAGGAAATTTTTATTTCTTATTTTTGTCATTGCATATAGAAGATGCCTTTTGGTCATAATCTTACTCTTTAACTCAACTCCTATTAAACTGACATGGCTAGCTTCATGCACATATGGATGACCCATGAAACAGCTTAACCTTGCCCCTTCTGGGCCCTTTTCCAGCCCACTGTAGATCTCTAGGCCACTCCAGCCCCATATAGCTAGGGCTATACTTGGACCTTCCCTTTCCTGGGAGATGTGCCAACCCCAAAAGGGCAAATTCATAAACCCGATTCTCCTGTCTGGCTTCACTGCTTGAAAATTCAATTGAAGAATAAAAGAAAAGCATACCCTTTATTATCATGTTATTATGAGGAATTAGATCATTATACATGGGATCAATGCATAGAAGAAACTATCCTGTTAGGGCTAATCAGATGTAAATAAATTCAAATTATAATTATCTTTGATTTAGAGGAAAAATTGGGGCTTAATCAATAATACGTACAATTAGCCATAATTACAAAAAACTGAATTTCTGGATGTATAGTTATGGCAGCAGTTGACATGTAGTGAGGAAGGCATACAAAAATGGGCAAAATACAGTTAACACACTGGAACATCCCTATGGATGAGGACTTTCAGCTAAAACATAGCAGAGATCTTTAAAAGAATGGCATTAGTGATAAATTATGTTTATTAGTATTTTTGAATAGAAATGTGGTGTGTTCATAAATCCAACATTTAAAAGTACAGCTAACAGGTTTGTATGAGACTATGCAGAACCTGCATATTATGATATTTCATAATACGGCACAATAGCATGAGGAAATAAAGTCCTTTTGTCATCACTGACGATCATATTGCTCACATAGATAAACAAAATTTCTAGGTCCCCATTTCTGTTATTGTTGGTTCAGCCTAAAATATAGCATTATATTCCTAAAAATTCATAGAACCCTTAATTCTGGTAAAGGCACATCCCATATTTCATCTTTTATACAACACTTCAGCTCAATGTCCTTCTTGCACAGAATCCTACAATGCAAGCATGAGGCACTTAATTACCAGATTTTCTGATCTGAGAATTATTCTTGCCACTTAGTTTTACATGTTTCATTTAGTTTCATTTCTTCATTTAGTTTTACATGTTTTTGGCCATAACCCTTTTGCCTATCTGGCAGGAATTCAAGAATTGGAAAAATGCAAACAAAAATCTATTTCTAATTTTGTATTTATTCAGCTTGTACATTTACATATTACTGTTGCTCAATTATTACGCTGCATTTCATTTTAATTTAAAGAACAGTCACAAAACAATGTCAAATTCTAAGAGGAGAGACTAACAAGAGCAACACTTTTGAAAAGGGAAGCACCAGCTCGGTTCATTCAGAGTACCCAAGTTCAGAATCCTCCCCACCCACCTTGCACCTGCCCGTCAATCACTTTCACTCCCTTGTATGTGCGTGTGCTTACTGCCTGTGCCCTCATCCACCTTGTTCATCCTGCCACCTAGAATGGGACCAATTTCCTGGGGCCTTCAATAAGGTCACCACTAAATATTTATTGAGAAATGAATGACCATGAGAACACAGTATTAATAATTATTATAACCACACTATTTATTGCTCATAATCAATGTGTCAAGAATTTTGTCATTCATAGTCAGTGTTTCTACTCTTTACAAGGAAGCTGTGAGTTAGGCGTGACTATTTACCTGTAACTGATGCTCAGGGAGGTTATAACATAAGGACATACAGCTAGTAACCAGCAGAGACAGGATTCAAATCCAGGTCTACTGACTTTAAACAAATTACCATTCCATGCTGCCTCTCTGACACCTCCAAACAATTAATGTATCTGTCTCACCTTCAAACTCTAGCATCATTTTTGTCACTACTTTTCTCATCATGTTTTGCAATATTAAATTGGGTAGATTATTTCTCACCCTAGTTTCTAAACAAATTTATTATAGGGACTGTCTTCTGAATCTCCACCACTGTCTAACATTCTGCTTATTCAAATCACTTAGTAAACATCTGCAGCTGGAAAAAATAATTGGAAGAGCAAAATATATGAGTAAGGATTACTATTATCTCCTTTACAAGACCAGCATGTTTATGAAAAAAATTTCATGAGTCAGCTCCCCTCTAGAAAGCAACAGGAAGAAAGTCACTGATCCTAGTCCTGAACTTTTAATGAGGTAAAATTCAGTGTTCTGAAAATTTGTATTGTCCTATGACTATTTATGTTTTTCTAGAACAACTGATAAAATATATAGCACATAGAAACAAACTTATTTCAGTTAAGCCTATTTTTTCTTTTCAGTTTTTTGTCTTTAAAATGTTTGTAATAATTACACAACTTTTCTATGAGTAATAGGCCTATTTCAGAGTGTGCTTTTATGAGACTATTTTTATCAACTATTTTGTCAACAGAGTTTTCAAGCCGCTGATGTAAAACATCTCCTGTTGGCAAATAAACTACACTGACTATGTAATTTAAGTAACTTTACTGCCCTAAACAAAGGGTAATCCTTGTGACTAGGATTTACAAGTCACTTTCTGACAGTTCCATAGTATTTAACAATAGTTTTGTGTTTTTCTCCCCAAAAAACACTTTGCAATGTATGCATTAATACTACAGTCATTCTATACTGATAATTTTCATTACATAGACACTCCTCAAAATGATTTTCTCCTTTTCTTTGCTTGAATATACCTTTTAAACAGTTCTTAATAAAAAAATTAAGTGTTAAGATTTAAATTACAATCCTATAACACTTGCTATTCAGTAGTATTGATATACTTTAAAATAATCATGTTAGAGCGAATAATTTTGAAAAGATGGTTTATAATGTTCATGTATATAATTTAGCAGTATTTATGTAAGGATGATAAAAATAATAATTAGGATTTGTTTCATCTTTTATCAAGAAATGTCAGCAGTTAGAAGATGAATAAGTTCTGGAGATTTAATGTACACATGGTGACTATAGTTAACCATACTGTATACCAGAAAGTTGCTAAGAGAGTAAATCTTAAATGTTCTTGCCACAACACACACACACAAACAAACACAAGGTGATGAATGTGTTAACTAACCTTATTGTGGTAATCATTTCTCAATATATATGTATACCAAATCATCATATTGTACACTTTACACAATCTTATATGTCAAATTATATCTCAGTAAAGCTGGAAACAAAAGATATGTCAGGCAAAGAAATGTCATATAAATAAATATATATTAGAATATATTCTATAATATATATTGACCTTCTTTTGCTTTTATATTTGAAAGAAGAAACATAAGAAGTCCCTCCATTTATTTCAAAATGGATAAATGAGGAAGTGCTCAATTTATTTTCTATAAGAAGTCTAGTGCTATTTGTTTTGTGGTCCAGTCACTTGCTCCTAATCTCTTTGTTTTAAAAATTATTGATATTCACAATGACACCAACTTAGCAACCTGATTCATGCAGTCTTAATGATTAAGGAGCTCAGTCACCCAAAGATATAACTTGTTAAAGGCAAATATCCAGGAGATTGTCTAAGCCTCATGCACAGAATGTGCAAATGCCTCTGTAATTTTAATCCGATTCCAGAACTATCTACCAGCAACTGACCTTCCTTGTCTTGTGCTGGGAATAAGTAGTTTAGTACAGAAAAGGGCCAAGTAGATTTCTGGTTTCCTTGACCTGGACCTAAGCCCCCCTCTAAAAGAGAATCAATTCTTTTTTTAAAAAACTGTAATAAAAGTCCCACGACTTCAGATATTTTATTATGCAATTTCTCATTAGAAAGAGTACTGATGGGCTTTCCCAAACACATGGAAAGTACTAAGTCAAATAAGAGATTATCAAAACACTTTTGCAGTGATAGGTCACAGATTAGTCATCAATTATACATAATACCACTCATAAATCAAAGTTATTATTATTGTACTTTAAACAATCCTGGATATACATTATTAATGTATCTACATAGAAATTTTTGCTCAATTATAGACATTTCCAATGGATATATAATTATATTCTTTCTAAGAGAATCAAGTTAAAAAGTAATGAGAAATGCAAATATATATGTACATAAACATACACATATATTATTTTTAGGAGAATAAAATTAGGAGCAATTAATGATATGGAAAATCATGATGCATTTTTGGCCAACAAGCGAGAAAATAACAAAGAATGTTTATTACATGGATTTCATATTTCATATTCCTGTCAAATGATATACAGTAAGTAAACATTTCCATGTAAGAGCATGTCATATGTGTCATACCTTTTCATGGACCTTCTGGCCAGGTTCCATCCCTTCAAGATGTTCTGACTCTGTGGACCCCTCACTTGATGCCATTTTTCTTTGTATATGAACATTTTGTTCACGCAAGGCAACAATCTGCAAAATAAAAGCACTATGCCTTTAAAATCTAAAATAGAGCGTAAGGTATAAAAAATCTGAGTTAACTTGAATGTAGTTAGGAACTAATGAACACAAATAATCATAAAACAAACATTAAACTTTACTCACATTATTATTTCAAAAAAATGTTTTTAAATCTAAGTTAGCATTTTGAACAATATTTATCATATTTATAGGAATGTGAAATTTACTTAAGAAAATATTCTCTAGTTGGAAAATGTATCTATCTTTTTAACTTTTTAAATTAACTTTTGAAATGTAATAAAATTTATATTGGTCTGAATTTTCAAAGTGTAAAAGAAACATAAATGAAAAGATTGAAGACTGAAGACTCAATATGAGCACATTAACTTACCCTAAGAGACAGCACATCTACAATTTAAAACAAGGCAAATACATATACTGGACTTAAATCATTTTGTGCCACTATCATGAACACTTAGAATTAAATTGGTCTCATGGTCATTATTTTAATGGTCATTATCTTGGCTTTCTAGTCCAAATATAGTTAATTAACAAAAAAAATTCTCAGAAGGTAATTAGTTCTAGCAAAGTTTTAGCTCAATTTTATAGACATGATACTTTAAACTAAGAAATAGATTATCAGATAGTGTAGTTTAAGTGATCTTAATAATATACTGAGTGGAAAATAGCATTCTAGTATTTTAAATGGTGTTGTAAAATATATTTGCTACAACAAGGACCTACTGTATAGCACAGGAAACTATATTCAATTTCTTGTAATAACATAATGGAAAAGAATCTGAAAAGAAAAAATACATATATATGTATGTATATGTATAACTGAATCACTTTGCTGTACACCTGAAACTAACATTGTAAATCAACTACATGTCAATAAAATTTTTTAAAAATATAAAATAAAGTATGTTTGCTATTTACACATATTGTTTTGAAAATATTTTATATTGCATTACTTTAATGCCATAAATTGTCTCTTGGCAAGTTTCATTACATTATCAACTCAGATACTGAGTCAGTATTGGTTCTAAGGGAAATCAATGTCCATAGTATTCAGTACATAATAAATATTGAATCACATTAAACTTACATGTTGAAATTATGAGACCAACATGTCACACAGACAAATAATCACAATATATGTAAGAAATCAAGAGATTGTTTGTCCTGCTGCCTGCCACACCTGTGTGCCCTGATGACAATGATGTGTTCATGAGAAGTGATCTCACATATGACCTCCAGCACTTAAACACACGATGTATCACTATCTAAGGGCGGATCGCCACATAATGAAGAACTCTTGCAGTAATGCAATCCCAAATAATTGATCCCCTTATTCCTATTCGTGTCCATCTACAGTCTATTATCCACAAAGCAGTCAGATCCATCTTTTAAACTTAAGTTATATTGTTTTACTCCTCAGCTTTCTAAAGAAGCTTTGTGTTCTCCCAACTTATTTAGTGCAAATTTAAACTTAACAAGGTCTGTACCGCCTACAAGAATCCTTCAGCCACAATGGCCTTCTTTCTGTCCCTCAAATAGACCTGGCTCTTTTTCACCCAGAGATGAGGAACTTGACGACCTTCCTGCCTGAAACAGTCTTCTCCAGTTCAGACCACCACTGACGCAATCCCAGTTTTTAAAACAATCAACTGAAAAAAATCACACTCCTCAGAGAAAACAAACGTACCTTGTCATTGTACTTACTATAATAATCCGTGTTTATTTTTGTGTGTATGTTATTCATTACAATCTACTATTTTATTCCTCTATTTACTTACTCACTTTGCTTGCTTATGTAGCTAGCAGAAGTCCTAATGAGATCTCATGGGAAACTAATTTTCAAAGGAATACCTTATTGAAAACAACAGTTTCATACGAAGCAGCACATCATATTATTATGTATAGAGATTCAATATAAAATGTTGAATTAAATAATAAATGGATATGGAAAAACAAAGATTGAAAACCCACTCCATTCAGAAGTAACAAAAGATAAAGATTTAGAGTGCAGAGACATTCCTCTCATGTTAGTGTAGAAATGAATTACATCAAAGGAACAAGAACGAAATAGTCCCTGATATATCCTTTTCATATGACGTTTTTAACATCTATCTCTTACATTAAGCAATGAGATTTTACCTTCAATACATCAAAATTTTTATTATGAATTTTAAAAAATTGAAGTAGTATATGCCGATTCCACTAAGAAAACATCTATGACTTAACAAATACGTTAAGACAAAGGTAACAATAAATTTAAAAATTCTATGCGTTTTCTTTCATTATTTAACTTACTTAGAAGTGAAGAGAGATCTTTTTAGAAGATATTTAAGAATAAAATTTAACTCTCAGTTTACAGAATAACTTCCATTTGCTTAATAATTTGGATAAATATTAAATACATTCTAGTGCCTAAAATAAAGCAGGCCATCTATGAGGGTTTACTGAATGATTCAGTGAAAGGATGAATTAATGCCCTTAAAAAAAATCAAAACAAGAAATCATATGGAAAATACCTTATGCAAATATATAGTTGTGCCACTATGTTAAAGTACTACAAACTTCCAAGTTTTTCATGAAGTATTGACATGCAGCCATTCGTTGACATACATGACAATTCCAAGAAAGACAAACTTTTCAGCCACTAACATGCAAACTCTACTCTTTACAAAAAATCAGTCCTGCAAATTAGATTTCTGAAATAGGAGAATGGATGCAGAAAACTCTATATTCTCTATCATTATTATATGATTTTATTCTGTTCTATTTTTGCCCAATAACAAATTACCATGGGTAGTTATGAAAGCAAAGCTTTAGCTTCTGATTTAATTCTAAGTGTTAATAAGCTTCCTTTCACACTGGGAAGTGAGAGGTTCTCTCCTGCGAATGCAACTTTGGGGGCTGGGCCTGCTCTTCAGTGTATACAAAGGGGCAGAGAAGGTCACCTAGGAATCTGAAGCTGAAGGTAGCACAGGCCTCTTTAGGAAATTCTCTCAGCTAGCTTGAGAAGTAGTTTGCAAACAGCAAGTGGAATGAAAAGAAGCTGATGGCGTTAAAACATTCTCTGGGCTCTCACTGACAGAGAACGCTGTGAAAGGCAGGGCTCAAGAGACTTGTCTGGAATACCAAAGTAGGACTGGACCCCTCACTGCTAAACAGCGTGATCTACTACAAATAGGATGGCATGGTGGGTGGGAGGATCCCTTCTGGGGAGTCTCTGTTGCTTACCCAGTTGTTACATAACTGCAGGAAGGTACTGGAAATCTACTGTATGCCAAGCACTGTGCTAAGCTATTTTACTCTGCAAATTAGGTCATATGATCCACATTTAACAAGTGATTAAACTGAGATAAATAAAATTTAATGAGTACTAAGGAATCAAAGTCCCTTGCTTTATGCTTTATACTCTATCACATTGTCTCACATGGCTTTGCATTTGGGCTCTATTAAGCCAGGAGAAGTTAAGGGTGGGTGGGCATGAGGGGAAAGCACTTCCTTTCCAAGTAATGCTACCCTCCAACCTCATAATCTTTTGTATATCATTAAACTATGGACTCCTCCCTGGAGAGATTACCATATAGGCAGAATTTTGCATGCTTTCAGCATATCAATCCACAGAAGGCCCATGGATCTCTGGTCAAGAGAAACTTTCAATGATTATTTAAACTGATCAATCATGATTTGTCAAATATTTGTTGACATTTGTTTTTAAATGCCCAGCATTCCTTCATATTCTTTTTGGTGACAATATCTTAACGTTTTCACTGGGGAATTTTCCTTCCCTTTGCTAATGCTAGACAGACTGTCAATCAGAATCCAAAGCTCATGGCAAAAGGGCGGGCACATGATCCAAGCCAGGGCAATCAGAACATTCCTTGACAGATATTTCTGGCAGAGGTATGGGGAAGAGTCTCTTTCTACTATGGAAGGTAAGATGGTAGGATATAATCAGGGTAGGTTTGCCGTCAGTTCCTCCTTGGGAAGAAAGCAGGTGGAAAAGATGGAGCCCTGATGACTCACTTTCTTGCTGATTTTAGCCATTCTTAAATCAGTTCTATCCCTGGCACTTCAGTAAAATGAGCCAAAAATTTCCCTTTTGTGGTCAACTTGGCTTGGGTTGGTTTTCTGTCACTTGCAACTAAAAGCGTCCTTGCAAATATAGCAGGGACCAAGGAAGGCAACACAGTGCATGCAATATCTAAGTGCGGATTTGCAAAATGACTAACAGTTTACCAGGGGGACAGTAGGAGACAACTTTTCAGGTAGACAGAAGAACATGATCTCTTTGTGTTCCTAGTACTACAGGCTGTTTAATATTCCCGTGGCAAAAGTATCTGGAAGAAGATAAAAGAATGGCAGGTGACTCAGAAAGCTAGAGTACTTCAACTAAAATGCTGGCATCTGTGTGAGCCTCGCTCTCTGGCTTATTGCCTTGCCTTGACACTTCTTTGTGTTTCCTGATAGCTCATTAAGCTTCTGAGAGCCTGACTCACTACTTCTAGGCACTTCCAAATCCCATTACATTCCCAAGGTAGTCTTCCAAGTTTTGTTCTTCAAACTTCTGCCTCTGTCAGATTGTTTTTGGCTCTTATCAACCTCTGACAAGTTCTGACCTCAGACAGTGGACTACTGGTGGTCTTAATGGCTGGTCTTCTGGTTAGGAAAATTCCCCACCCCCACATTCCTTTTTTCTACCAGACTATTTCAGGGATCCTACCATGTCTTCCAACAGACTCTCTTCCATCCTCTTCCACTGAACAATGGTTTTCTTTGATGGCCTGGAAAGAGTCATTCCTTTCACGCATATTTATTGAGCACTGATGATGTATAGGGTATTAGGAAAATACAATGAGAGTGGGAAAAGGCAGAAATTCTTGCCTTAATGGAACTTTCATTCTTGCGGAGGGAGAGAAACTACAAACAAAAATATGTAGAATACATTTTTTAAAAGGTGATAATTGCCAAGGGAAAATTAAAGTAAGGGAAGGGTG